CACCCATCCAAATACTTGAAACTACTTATTAACATTTAACATATATATAACATATATAACATATTGTTATATGGAAATGTAATTGATCTTAAGAGTGGATATTAGTGAGTTTAAAGATCTCAAGACAGGAAAAACATCACCTGGAAAAACATCACCTGAAAAACATCACCTGGAAAAACATCACCAAATAAATAAACTATCATTTCTCCTAAGAATTTTATTAGTGGGTCACTGTATTTACCATTTCTTATAGTGCAAGATCTCCCCCTCAACACAACATGTAAAATGCTGCATAAATTTCAAAGAAAAAATGTGACTAAATATCTCCATTAACGTTTTTGTTCAAAGAATACCTAAAAGTTCTGATTTCATTTGTTATTCTGCACAGGATGGTTCAAAAGTGTACTCCTGCATAATTATTGCTCTGCTCATTAAGTTTTTTGTCTTGCTGCCATCCACTTGCCTTTGCTGTCATTGTTCTTTTTGAGTCTCTATTATTCTGTGTTCACCATGTGGTGAGGTTTTTTGATATCACCTCATTCACTGCCCCTTGCTTGTTACATGAGTGAAACATTCTATAAGTTAGTGCTACACTGAAAATCATTTTCCAATCTGTAATGGCTCAGATTTCAATATTTTACAGAAAATATGGCAGAGACTGATACACCCACTGACATTATTGTTGTTCTTGGCTGCCGAACCAGTGATGATGGTTCTCCTTCGGAGATGTTGAAATCTAGAGTAAATCAAGCAGCGGAGCTGTACACTTCACTACGACAAAAAAAAACTGACTGTCGAGTTGTTGTTTCAGGATTCTGCGCACAAGATCAGGTATTCTCTGCTATGCCTTTTCTAGGTAACAAAAACTAATTTCATTCTTTGGCTCAGAATAGACCTTGGATGACTGCATGACACACAACTATTCCACTCAAATTGGTTAATCTTACATATCTTTGCTTTGAGCAGGTGTGAAAGGTCTGATATAATTCCAAGGACAGCATCAAACTCACTAGGGTTTTTTTTCCCAAAACAAAAACTTGGATGAAAATGGGAGGCATGCTTTTCAAAGTGCTCACCCTTTATCTACTGATTTCCCCTGTGCAGACCATACTTGTTGCTGACCCTTTCCACCCCATCATCATGCAGTATGCATATTCTCAATACTGTTCTCTAAACATTTGCTAAGGTTCTAACAAGGAGCTCCCTAAGTCTTTGATTTATTCTCATGACCTTAATGTTTAACAAGGAATTATTTTCAACAGGTTGTGACAGAGGCCAGTGCCATGGAAAAATATGCAGTTGATAACAATCTTATTGATCCAAAACACATCATTAAGGAGGAACAGGCAAGCAGCACAGCAGAAAATTCCTATTACAGCCGCATTATTGTAGATCAGTTTGAGGCCAGTAATGTCCATGTTGTCACGACACAGTTGCACATGGAAAGAGCGAAGATATTTTTTGAAAGGGTATGCATGTTCTTATAACTTTGTGCACAAACGTAAATTATCCCACCCTAACAGACTTCCTGGATAGCCAGCATTATGGGAAGGCCCAGCCCTGTACTCTAACAATGCATGATCCTTTGGAGATCTTTGACTGAATATACAGATGTACAGCCTGCAAATGTTGTCCAGAACTAGAAGATTTATCTTTATTGAGAAGTCAACTGTAAATCCAGTCACTAATGGTAACAATTACTTAACAAATGCTCTGGGAGGGCAACAGTTTTGCTCACAAGGCCCTCTTCAGGGTGTAGGCAAATACTTCAGATGTAACCTCAAAAAATTCCTTTAATTCTTCTCACTAAAAGTATGCAATTAAGTGTCTTTTTTTTTTCAGCTCTATTCACCAGACATTTACAATGTAAATTACTATGAGTGCACACATGAGATGAATGATGAAGAGAGGAAACATATGGAAGATAGAGAAGAACGTTTATTCCCCTTAATAGATGAACATATCAAAATAATAATGTCCAAACTTACACTGCCTGATGGAAAGATGATAGAAATCCTTCAGTCATCATTGGTTCCAACAGACGTGTTCAATCACGGTTTCACAACAAGATATGGCGGTGTCTCAACCTACAACACGTTATCCTCCCTTAACTTGATGTACAGTGATAAAAGAAGAGACCCAGATGTCAATGTCCAGGAGAATCGGCGTAGACTAGCCTTGACTGCGAGATTTGACCCTGAGAAATTTCGTGTAGCTAAATGTGTTCATGGGGCTGATGTGTGGGTGATTGGAGATCCACAACCAAACAGCTATGATGCCTTAGTGACTGATAACAGGCAAGTCACATTGGCAGCACCAGGTGCAGACTGTCCTGTGGTGCTGTTTTGTGATCCAGTGAAAAAGGTAAACATACACCACACCTGATAAAACCACTGTCAACCTATCAACCCTAAGAGGAAATAAACTTTTTAGATTAACTGAAGGTGTAAGGGCTTAAAATTCAAATACATTCAGGACTAATTATCTAATCTTTCTTTTTTTTGTTTTGGAAATTTTAGTTGCTCGTGTTTCAATTATGGTTGTTTTCAGGTTTGTGGTGTTGCTCACTCTGGGTGGCGTGGAACACTAGCAATGATTGATGCTGCTGTTGTTGATGTAATGTTGACAAGGTTTGAATGTAAAGTAAAAAATATTCAAGTTGCTATTGGACCTTCAATTGGCCCATGCTGCTTTGAAGTTGGGGAAGAAGAAGCTGAAAAATTTTCTGAAGCATTCAATGATGGTGTTGTGGTGCGAAAGGATGGTTCACCACGCCCATTTGTTGATCTACGCCTTTCCATCAGAATGCAACTTGAGAAAAAAGGAGTACTTCCAAAGAATATTGATGATGATACAAGGTAATTGGAAGAAAGGACTTATTAATAATTCCAATTTCCATATAATAAGTGAATTGGAAGTATTGTCGTCTAAAAAGTATTGAAGAAAGTTCATCAAAGTTCTCTTTTATTTTAATGTAATTAATTATTATGAAGTGCTGTATTTTCTCTGAAGAGGATGCAAACTAACCACAGGCCACCCACTCCCAGCCCTCACCTCTCATCTTGGTACACTGCAACAATTCAACAATGCATTCCCTTATCTTGTACTGAAAGTGGCTTTGTGAAATATAATGTATTGGTCTGCAAATTTTTAAGTGCAGCAATGGGATGAATTAGGTTTGTGGGCAGAATTCTCAATTATGGGTGCTACAGCAATATCCTAGAACAATCATTTGAGAACATGCCAGGTTGTTTTATTGTTAAAAGGCATCACTTTGTCTAATAATAATAATAATAAAATAATAATAATAATAAAATAATAATAATAATAATAAAATAATAATAATAATAAAATAATAATAATAATAATAATAAAATAATAATTATAATAAAGGTTTATTAGCATAAAATGGTGGAAAGGGGGCAACCCAGATTACCCCACAACTTGTGGATGGAGCACTGACAATTTACTGGAAGAAGAGAACATGCTTTTTTTTTTTGGTTTTTTCCCTATTTGCAGAGTAACTGATGATGCCTCAAAATCTCAGCACCCAACCCAATGTACAAAATGTGACCCCCAGCAAAGATTCTTCTCATTCCGACGAGATGGTACACAGTTTGGAACACAAGTTGCTTTTATAAGTCTCAGAGAATCAGATGATTCTGCCTGTAACATTTTATAATTTACCTGATCAATTAGTGAACTGAGTGGGAATTTTTGCCACATTAAAATTATTGTATAAATTGGATAGTGCATAGGAGAGGTCAAATACAAGGAAAAAACAGGAAAGCATGTTTTTTTTATTTCAATGTGTGTGTGCATTTAATAAATTGTGGTTAAGTCAGATTCTGCTATTGACACAATACAGCAATCTGATGTATGAAAGCTTTGAAGGAGTCTTGGACAATGAAACCCTAACTCACAACCCAAAATATATCATTAAGACAAAGGGGGCACTTTCCTCTTCATGATACTCTACTCTACTTTAGATAATATTTTCCTTCAGTTCAAAACCAGTATGTGTATATAAATAGCCACAAAAGCACTCCCTCTAGTCTCTGGCTCTTACATGTGTTCCAGCTACAATTAAATTAAGTGCTCAGCTCTAAGCACATTCTTTCTCGAAAGAGTCATAGAAAAGGCAAATACCACATTGCTACACCTACAATGAAGTAATTAAATTCCTTCTTCATCTCACAGCCAGTGTGTGCTTTTGTTGGCAGTAAAATCATTCACTTCAGTTTAGAACCACTTCATAATGTATCCCAGTTACAACAAAAGCATATTTCAGGCTGCCTGGTTGACTTTTATATTGGAGTCTGGCTACATAATGTTCAAGCATAATTTTTAAGCCTTTTCAACATTTTCTTCACTGGAAAGAGTACGAAAGGAAGCAATTATAGTGTTAATGACAAATTTGGAAGTAAATTCTCTACAGGTGCATAATTGGAGAATGTGAAATGAATGTATTTTATAGAATGCAGATAGCTAAATTTTCTGCAGTAGTTTTTATTTTTAAACAAAGTGTAATTTAAGGGCAGAGTACTTTAATAAAGTTATTCAAGAGTTTGAAAGTGTGGTGTCTGAGTATTTGAAAATGCTGAATCACCTGTAATATGCTAACATTTCAGAAGTTATTCATATCAAAGCTTCAGATCCAAATTTTCAGTGCCATGATGCTAATTATTCGTAGGCTGGGAAGTGTTCTATTTGCTTTAAACTCTTTTACCCCTTGGAGTGTACAGCTTCTAACTTCTCCTTGTAACATCACCCTGAATTATACATTAAGGTTACGAGAAGAAAGGAAATGATAATCAGCCAGACGCTCTTGATCATTAAACAAGTTCTCCTTGTCTGCACCTCGGGAAAGTTAGATAAAAGGCAGTTTATGACTGCATGGATAGTAGTAGAGTGTTGCAGTTATGCAACAATGTATAGGGGTTGATGAACAGCTGTCTCTGATGCAAAAATTGAGGGAAAAGAAGGACTTGGCTAGAACAGAGTTTATACACTGGTCAAGGCCAGGAACAGGGCTAGAAATTAACAGAATAGATATGTGTTTTAAATGTGTATCAAATATAACTTGTATCCCGGGATGATTCACAAGAGACACGATAGTCCAGTGTTTGGGGGAAGGTTTACAGACTTACACAACACCATAAGATAGTGCCCCAGGCGTGCACGAGTGCACACGCATGCACACAAACACACACAAAAAAAAAAACAGTAAGGAGAACATGCCCACTGATGTCAGGGTGTAAAGGGTTAACTGTGGCATTTATAACCTCTTCCATTGAATACCACACAAAATGTCTGGTGAACATAAATAGTGGACATAAATAGTCCACAACATAAGACCATTTTGTGAAAGATAATCTTACAATAGAATCTCAATTTTGAAAACTTATGGGGAAAGGCAATTTGACACTAATTAGAGGTGGGTTTGAAAAGTTGCATTTAGAATTATATTGTTTTAGTGAGACAGGAAAACAAACGTGTTTTAAATTATTGGGACATTCGCATAGACAAGGATTAAAGAAAATGAGATTAATCATGTAATCAGAATTGAAAATGAGAGTAAACAATTCCAAATACATCAGTCTTTAATTATCAATTACATATCTCTTAGATCAAACTAGTGCAACCAAACAGCACTTTCACAAATATGATACAAATACGATGCTCCCACCAACAGTAACAATCCTAATTTCAGCACACAAACGCCGAGGTCATCTTAATCTTGTAGGCACTAATGATAACAATCAAACATCCTCTGGGTTTGTGTAACTAAATGATTCTCAGGGTTCGTACACTTTTTCAGGCCAAAGATTCAAGGACTTTTCAAGGACTTTCCAGGACCCTACTTAGAAATTTCAAGGACTTTTTGTAATGAGAATTTTACCTCAAAACCAAGAAAAATTTTTCTGTTAACATCTATGTTTTGGGTTTACCGATGGTGCAAAACAAAAGCAGATATTTTTCGATGTTGTTCAATAAAAAATCAAGGACTTTCAAGGACCCAAAATGAAATTCAAGTTCAAGTACTTTTAAGGCCTTGAAATCGGCCTCCTGAAATTCAGGGGTTTTCAAAATGCATACGAACCCTGGATTATGGTAACTATAGCAACTACAACTTTATAGCTTTGAGGTTCCTTAAACAAATAAATCACTCTAAAGCAGTGATGCAAAAAAGTTTTTTTTTTTTTGAAAACTTAAACATTACAAAAGAGAGAAACTCTAAGGGAAAATACATTGGGTGTGCACCATGCTTTCCCATGAAACAAACCGGAAGCAGGTGGGCCCAAGCTAACAGGTACTTGCAGATAACTTATTATCCATTATTAGAAAGTCATAACTCTGAGATGGCAAAAAACACCACTGCATTGATCCTGACCCCCAAGGAAGATAACAGCAAACATACTGCTATCAATAGAGATTCCATTTCAAAAAAATTCCTGGAAAAATGTATCAAATGACATCAGTAAAAAATCCCTTTCAGAGACCAAACACTTTTGCATCAAAAACTGAGCCAAACATCATTAGAAAGAAGACTACCGGTATTTCCTGATACAACCACTCTTGTTCAAGGAAATTTACATATTGTTTACTGTGTAATCTGAATTTTTAAAAATCTTTAAGACATGATTTATTGCTTTTAAAAAGAAGATCCCTAAAGAAACAATGATTGTCCTTTTTAAATAATACTCCCTTGTGTAAGCAAGATCTTAATCCTTGAAGAGATTTCTTTGTGTACATCTTGTAATGTGAAAGGTTAATGGAAATCAGATGCTTACCCATCTTCAAAACAATGTTGTAAGAGCAGGAAAGTTGCAAAGGAAGCCAAGATATGAATGATTCCTTTAAGGTATTAAATACACTGATTCGAAATATGGTGTCCAATTTGAATTGCCATTGTTCTGGACTCACTAGCCTCTCACATGTGATAATCCTTAAAATCGTGTTTCCAGTGAAGACGAGGCTAATGAGTCCAGAACAATGGCAATTCAAATTGGACGCCACATTTCGATTCCATGTATATGATTGCAACCCTACAGATAAAAGTGCTTTGCCTGTTAGATGTACAAAAAAAAACTTTTAAACACAAAGCATTTCATAAACTAACTTACAGATTGTCATTTTGAGGACACTTGTAAATGCAAATAAGATGTAAACCACAATTACTAATATTTAGAGATCTGAAAACATTTCCAGCCTTTTTCACAAACAAAATACCAAAAGTTCTATATGTCATTCTTTTGTAGATCAGATAAGCTACAAAACTAAAGCTAAACTAAGATAAATTACTTTCCATTCAACATTTACTCTGTTTCCTGCTTCATCATCTTCACAGGCTCATGTCAACTTGTCATCTTAACTTCCATTAGTGTCCGTTTCCTGTGGCACACTATCTCCATAATTTTCAACCTGCTGAAAGACATAGTTGACATATCAAATCTGCTGTTCTCACAGCTATGCTTTGGAGAACAAAACATCAACTCATCTTGGGAAGAAAAAAAAAAAGCTAAAATTTGAAAAGTCTATTATTATTTGTGATCCAATATTCTGAATCCTTGTTACATTCTGATAAAAGATCAATGCAGGTGATAATAACACTGGTGGTTAACAAAATCATTATGTACCAATTACTTACATTCTGCTCTTAACCCTTTAACTCCCATAAGTGACCAAAACAGAAATTCTCCTCACCATATCAATACAACATCAACCAGACCGGCGAGGACAAAGAAAAATGTCAAGTAGGGGACTATTAGTTGATCCAATGACAATTTCTCCAAACTAACATCATAAGAATTTTATGGTACTCAAAAAAAGAATTACTAATGAGATCTGGGAGTGTAAAGGTTAACCCTTAAACTCCCAAGATCTGATTGTTAATTCTCCCCTCTGGCTGCTATACATTTCCTTGTAAATTGGTTATGAGAATTTGGCTTTCAATCAAGGTAACTCCCACCTGATAAGTTTAAGTATTCTCACTACCTGTTTGCTGGATGATATAGGGATATTATAGGGAGAAGTTACATGTTAATCACTTCTAGGAGTTAGAGGGTTAAGTGTTTGCATACCTAAGCATACCTATTAAGCATAGTTTCATTATAATTGGAGATAGTACTGAGTGGACTGGCCCTCCACAAACATAGCTCAAGTTTAATTTCCAAACAAAGCCAAACACTTGAGTGGCATTTGTTCCTGTTCTAGTCCTTGCATAATGGTTCTCAAAGCTTTCCTTCCGTTATCCATCAAAACTAACACTCAAAATCAAATTTGGAGGAACCTTTTGTGGGCATATCATAAATGTTTACAGCTTCTTCATGAAAGTTGTCCCATAAAGTAGAGACAGCAATGCACAACTGTAAGTAATGCTGTTTTCTTTTCTTTTTTTTCTTGTTTTTATTCAATTACCAGTATGCAATTCAAGGAAAATCCATTACTTCACTTGTGAATTCCACATTAAATTGCATTTGAAAACCAATCTCACTCATTGCTTCACGATTCAAGCAATATCAATTTTCGAGTGCAATTTAATACAGAATTCTCTCATCAAGTCATGAATTTTCCTGAAGAACTGTTGTGTACATTTTTATTTTTCTGTGTGGGACAACCCTCAAAAAACTCTAATCTGAACAGGTTATCTACCAATTTACAAGATTTTGTTGTAATTATCATTGTTAAACAATTACCAATAGTAGGGTTCATATTTGCCAAACTGCTCCATAAGTACAGAGGCTCAATAACCTATTCAGATATAACTACTAACCACTCCATGCGTGTCAGGGTCAACAGCTTCATTAACCAAAACAGAGGGGTTAATATCATCAAGGTCCTTTCTATCTGAACTTTCTGCTTCAAGCTCTTTATCCAACTCATTCAATGCCTCATCAGACAAAACATTTTCTTCATCATCATCACAGCANATACCCATGTAGAGTGCAAGGGGCTGGGGCTGACAAACGATCAGGCTAAAATAAGTGTTAACACGCAGAGAAAGAGTACTACAAGTTTTCTCTAATATTAAAGCCACTAAATCAAGATGTTACTTAGCCGTTACCTTTACCTTTCCAGTCTTTCTTTATTTCCTCATGTTCCTCTTTTGTTTCATCTGATGGTTTACATACGTTAGTCACCAATTCCTCTAAAAACATTTTAACAGACTCATCTACTAGAGTTGTTTGTTCAGAAATCTCTAGTTTGGATTCTTTCAACTGCAAAAAAAAGTGTAATAAAACAAACTGTAAATGTGTTACACACAGGAAGGTTTAACTTAGCACACATCATTTTACTATAATTTTCCAAGTAGAGAAATGGTTAAGCTATTTTGGTGAAATCACTTACCTTGCTTCACAGCACACTGCATGCAGGAGTGAATTACATGCATAGCTTGCACAGCTGGAAGTTTTGCATGCCTTGAACTATAGAGTGGCAAAGCCATGACAGGCTTTTAAGGGAGAAATTAATATTGAAAAAACCAATGCTCTGCCTGTCATTTGAAAGCTCCACCACTTTGATTTTCAGTAAATATACAATAACTTTTAGCTACTCAGGCTATGACATATTTTGCTTTTATTTTCAGACAACGACTTCTCATCTTATTTTTGAAATACATCCAAACCTTTAGTATTCCTCAAGTGAAAACTTTGTACATGCACTGTTTGAGAGGGAAATCCCCGTGTAAGTCTCACAGAACAAACCACGACTTTGCCTTTTAATCCATTTACTGGGAAACTCTCAGAAAGCTGCAAGTTAATTTGCTCAACCAAGTTTTCCTGGGTTGTATGGAGCTAGTCTCTACTTGTCTTGTTTCTGAGGATGTTGACTTAATTTTACACAGTAAAGTTACATGTTTTTTCGGATGATCCAGATCTGGATTACAAATCCAAGACCAGCCTGATGACCAAAAAGCATCAAGGATATTATGAACATATGCATCAATAGACTAAATCACACTTTTTTTTTCAATAAACCATGATCTACCTCATCAAAGATCACTGATCTTGATCTAGATCATGGCCACAGAGCCACCCTTAAGGGTTTGAACCAAGTAGCATTACTCAATTATCAACATGGAAATGAATGTATGGTTAAAAATAGTTCTTGAGAGCACTGTTGACAATTAATGTTCTCAAAACAAAGTGGATATTGTGGTCCATCGCATTGCCTAAGTATAACCACAGAAAACCCACATAAACTGCAAAATAATTTGTGTGAGCCCCCTGTAGGTATTGCTGGAGAAAGTGGCATCAGGAGTCGAGAGGCTAACTCAATCACTTTCCTTGCATGCATTGCTTCACTCTTTGAGACTCATATGAATAAACAAAACTAAATCCGACACATGCAATCATTCAAAATCAATAGCAATCAGTAGAAGATCAACTAAGCATTACAAGCATTTACACTTTATTATGAAAGATCCCTTAAATTACAAACCACCTGATGAAATTAGTTTTGTTACTCACTATTAATAAATTACTAGTTATCAAGAATTAATCATTGTCATTGATTCAATGCACATTAACCTCATTTAAGAAATCAAAGCCATGTAATTAAGAAAGTGGAATTCCTTAAAGCTTTAGTTCTAGAACAAGAATGTAGTATCATGCCTAAAAATTTTCAAGTCAGACTTTCACTTGAACCATCCATCCCTTGGAGTGACCAACGACTAATTTCTCTGTTCAGCATCAACTTTGAATGAAACATCAAGTTCTTGATAAAAATTAGTTCTTATTAACCAAGTGAGAGGTCAGTATGGGAGAATCCTGACCAAGGTTACCAGTAAAGACCATATGCAGGGAGGTCTGTACCAGCGACTGAAGTCAAGATTCTCTCATAGAGACCGACCCAGCTCAGTTAATAAGATGTTTATTATATGGCTGTGTCTTATATGCCAATTTTTTATATTCTTTGCACCTTTTTCCCTAGACTGGTCTAGATGGGAAAATCTAGACTGCTTTCAATATTGATTTCAGCCAATTAAATTCGTGAATTTGGTAGTTCCCAGTCCTTGTGAGACACGGCCATCTAATAAAAGGAATTATTAAAAACTGGATCATTGGATAATGCAATTCCAAAACTTTTTATTGGCTTAGCCATTATGGTACATGAGCCAATATACTATAATCTACAAATATGGTAAGCATACATGTCAGCTTAAAATTAAAAGGGAGCTAAAAAATTTAAGATTTGGTGAGATTTGTCTAATATCTTGGTACAAATATGGTAAGCATACATGTCAGCTTAAAATTAAAAGGGAGCTAAAAAATTTAAGATTTGGTGAGATTTGTCTAATATCTTGGGGGCGTTTTTAATAAAACAATTATTCCACTCGCGCTTGTTGGATATGAGATGATTATAGCCAACTAGGCGCTACGCGCCTCGTTGGCTATCTATCATCTCATATCCAACGCGCACCCGTGCAATAATTGTTAATTATCAAACTTCAGAAGCTTTTGATTGTCAAGCCTATTTTCTTAATCAAAACCATAGGAAATGGATAGAGAACAGTAAGGAGAATATGCATACTAATCTTAGGGTAAATAGGGTTACTGGTAAATGTCAATTAGGCCATTTCAGTAACCAAATTAATAAAATCAATATTATGTGAAGGTGTAGTCTGATCGTCCGGGTGAGTGTAGTCCTGAGAAGGACTGTTGTTGGTGGTAGTGACTGACGTTTCGACAACCTGTGCGGAAGTCATCATCAGAGTCAAGTGAATGATTGTTGTCAGTACACATGTTACCCCCGGGTTCAAACCATTTACTGCAAAATCAATATTAATTGCTTATAAACTAAATGACAGTTCAGAGTATCATAATAGCACTCAGTGAGACCAAAGAAAAGCACAGTTTCCTGTAAAGCAATATTCAAATTGAGATGCCATAAAAAATGCAACTACAGAACAAGAGACTCCTACTCTGTGTAAATTTCCATTCTAAGTTCTGAGTACTGCAGCTGTACAACGTTACTACAGCAGAAGGTTAACAATGGTGAAGAACTTCTGTCTCAAATCATCTACATGTAATTGCATTATTTTACAGATTATTATCGTCTCACTACACAAGAAGAATTTTCACTCGAACACGCAGTCAATTCTTAACAAATTAGACATACACATGACAATGAAATTGGAAAAACAATATCAAATACAAAAAGTTATCACAGGCAAATTACTAGCCCTATTATTTCTAATTGTGTGCAAAAAAAAAATCATCAAATGAATCAAGACGAGAGCCTACATTACAACCCTGTTCTGCTGTGTGACAATAAGGATTTCCATGTTCTCTTCTTATCAATTTGAAGCCTAAGCTATCTCACTATCTCCCTGTTTTTTTGGCAGAGCTAACTCAATTTTCTTGATTCTCTTTAGCAGGTGACTTTTCCTTGGTAAATTGGACTTCTCCCCCCGGTTGTATGTACACAGCAGGGCTGGAAGGTGGACTGTACAGTGGACTTGTTGAACTTACCCGTTCTTCTTCAGTCCTGTTCTCATCCACAGTCATTGTTGCCGCTGTAGCTTCTTCCTCAGCCATGCCAGTAATTTCTGGAATGAATGAAAGTAATATCAAAGTCTCACCCAATAATGCAATTTACTATATATGAAGTGGATCCTGTGTTCTGATAGGTTACCTGAGCAGGCAAGATGAAACCATCTTGCCTGCTCAGGATTGCCCGCTTTGATCCCTGGCAAGAAAAAAAGTGCATGAAGTGGATTTACAAAATTCATAACTTTTGGACAATTTCAGCAATGAAGTCACAAAAAGTGACAGAAGACAGTCAAAACAAAGAAAACATAAACAACCCTCATGGGTTTGTGCTACAAACACAGTTGGCTTTCCTTCCCAGCCCTTGAAAAAAATAAGTCATTCTTGATTCTCATTAAAGTGAAATATTTTTGCTATATAATAAATCCCTCCTTAACCAAGCTTGTTTGGTCAAGATGGCTGGACATCAGCCTCATTCTTTTTTCAGCCTTTTTATGGACCATGACTTTGTCTCAGTCCATAAAAATGCCCCCCCCCCCCCCAAAAAAAAGCCAATAGCTAGCCATCTTGACCTCACCCTTGGTCAATAACACATGTTAGCCCTTGTTCGCATGTTAGCTATAGGGCCATTGCCTGGTTTATCTTTTGAGGCTAAAATTGCTGATAAGAGTCTGTGATTATGCAGCTATGTAACTAAAATACAATCCATAGTCGCTCCTGTGGTGATGGAGGAGCATAAAAAAAAAAATAAAAAAAAATTGGAAATAGGGGGAGAATTGGTGCCAAACTAATAATCACTGGATACATAAATAATGAGATTCCACAAATAGTAATATAGAATAGAGAGTATAAAACAGTTCCCCCCTTAGAACACTTGTTAGTCCTTTCAGTAACTACAACTGCAAACAAGGAATTATTTCTAGCAAAGTTACCACAACTTGGAGTCTTAAAATGGACCACTGTTTTTTTTTTGTTTTGTTTTTGTTTTGTTTTTTTCACAAAACTGAAATTGACGTCTTGAAACCTATAACAAGCATTTTGAAACTGATAGCTTTGATTTTAAAGAACTAACATTTCCATTGTAACTGGTGCTACTGAAAGGACTGAAATCAGCACAACTGAATTAATAAGGATAAATCATATTTAAGACAACAACTGCTATTAAGATAAATCAATGTACCCGAGATATCCTCTTCTGAGAATCCTTCTGTTAAAACTTCCTCAGCTGACCCTTCACTGAGCTCCTTTCCTGTTTCAACCTTATCTTCATGCATCTTGTCAGTAACTTGATCTTCCACCTTCTCTTGTTTCTCCAACACATCTAGACCTGGGTCTCTAAAATCTCCATTAGCATCTGAATTGTTTGACTCATTTGTTTGTTCCCCTACTGGTGCCTCGGTCTGTTTCTCACCTACCACTTCAAGGACTGCCTGTGAGTGTTCATCAGATTCACTGCCCTCCATCTCCGTTGCTACATCGTGTGCAACTTCTTTGTCAATCCTTTCTAGCCCCTCTTTACATTCAGGACTTGAACTCTCCTTTGATTTTCCTTCAAGAACTTCTGGGATTCCAGATTCACATCTTCCCTCTTCTGCCTTTCCTTCATCTTTCACAAGTTGTTCTACAGTTACTTCTATAGGTGCCCCCTCCTGAACTAGGACTGATTCTCCTTTAACAACTTGATTTGAAGCATCCTCCACAACATGATCACTGCTGTCATGAAATTCATCTTCTATTTCTCCCCTCACTTCCTCATTATCGGAAGCAACATTGGCTAACTTTTCCACTCCATCAAGGCCAGATTCAGCATCCTCAAAGGCATTCTCCTCAGAACTTTCCTGGTCAGATTCCTTCATTTGTTCTGCAGACAAACTGGGAATACCTTTCACAGGACTTTCCATCAGGGGGGATCTAGTCACAACTGCCAATCCATCAGATAAGAGCTGACTGCTTATGGATACACCAGCAGAGTCCAATAGCTCAACATGAGTAACACTACCATCTTGCTCTTTGATCTTAATGTTCAAATCTGCTCCCTCACAAAGTTCTTGAAATCTTCCCAGTGCATCATTGCTCCAGTCTTCCCCATAGTATTTGTGCGGAGGCTCTATGCCGTGGAGGCTACAATACAAAGCCTGCACAGGAAGAACTGCAAATTTTGCTTCAAGTTTCTTGATTCTGTTTATTGTCAGAGTTTCTTGTTTGGCATAGTCTACCGAGCACACACAGACTTGGCCCTCTGAAAGGACTTCAGTCACTTGAGATCTACACCACTTGTTGTTCTCCGTGAATTGAGCACAGCAAGTATCTCCAACTTGCAGGCACAAAAACCTCAGGTCATTTTCGCCCAGTGACTGGTAAAAATCCTCAATCTTTTCTGATAATGTCTTGAGCTCAGATCTGAAACCAGTTAACTCACACCAGAAGTTATTTGGTGACTTTACTGACACCAAACTCACATTATGAAGACACTCTCCAGATTCTGGGTAATTGTAAACTATTCTGCCATCTTCTGAGATTGAAACCATTCTTGCTATTTCTTGCTGAGTTGCTTGAGACAATGCAAATCCAAGTTTTACAAGAGCATCAGTAACAGACTCTCCAGATTCATTATACAGATTGACACCCACAGAGTCACCAGAAACATTGACAATTTCGGCCTTCAATTCTTTAGATTCATATAATTCCATCAATTTTAATGCAATGTCTTCACTAGTGGGCTCAAAGGCTGACACAATGCCATTGAGACCGCAATCAATACACTGAACAGGAAGCAAGAAAAACTCTTCCCGAAGTTGCTTGATCATCACAGCCACATCACTGTTACCATAATCTACAAACTTGACTTCAACTCCTCCTGGACTCACACAAGTAACAACTGCTCTATACCAGTTCAAGTCCTCAGAATACTGTGCACAGCAAACCTGCCCCACCCTTGGGTTCCCAATGACTTCCTCTGTTTCACCCAAATTAGAGTATACTGCCATCAGTTGATCCATCATTTTTTCCAAACCTTCCTCGGTGTCAACCACTTGTAACTGAATGGAGTCCAAATCTTTCACAGACATCAAATACACATCAAGGCTTGCCCCAACTTCCAATTTTTGCCACTTTAACCCTGGCTGTTCTCTCAAGTAATCATCCTGGATGTCACATAACTTTGCAAACCCTAAATCTACAAGACTTTGATTAACTTGTTTTCCACTCTCATCATTCAAAATCACTTCCACCATTTCTCCAAATACTTGTGTGATCTCAGCTATCAACGTTTTGGAACGGCAAAGGGATTCTAATGCATTAGAACACTCTGGTGACCACTGACCATCATCAGAGCTTGGCTGTACATTTGCCAAACTACTTTCCACAACAAAAACAGGCCTTTTCGCAAACTCATCCTTCAGCAATTTCAAGGCAGAAATAGGTATTTTCTCATTTGTTCCACAATCGACAAGCTTCACAGTGGCAGTATTATCTGCAGAAGTACTTATAACTTCACCTCTGCACCACTTGTCTGAAAAGGGTACACAGCACAACATTCCGACCACTGGATTTTCAAGTGTAAGTTCACTTTCATTAAGGGCTTGATACACAGATGTTATCTCTCTCGTCATTTGGTCTCGTTCATCAATCCTCTCAGTTAACAACAGCTGCATCTCTGCAGGCAAAAATGCTGAGACAAAGCTCACTGGTACTTTGCTACCTGACTGTAGGTCTGGTCGGGTAAAATTTTTCCTCTCTTCAGTTGAAATGAGTTTTTGTGGAGAAGAATGTTCAAAAATCCTCTCTTCCAAAAGGGATGTATCACCAAGGCATTCTCTGACTATTTGCTCATTAACTGACAATGACTCTCCCTTAGTAAACAGTTTCACTGTATAGGAATCATCTGCATGCTGTTTCTGAACTTCAACTTCAACCACCTTATCAAAAAGTTGTTGGTTTAGGTAGTCTGTTATCTTACCTGGATCCACACCTTGTACTTCTGCTAGACGACAACAAATTGCTTGAGATGGGAGTTTCAGATGAGAGTCATTAATTGGTCGCAGCCTGTCCAAGGGAACGGTCTCGAAATTACCATAATCTACATAGGATACCATTACATTAACATCATCTTGCACCTGGAGGATTTCAGCACGGTGCCACATGTCATTCTCTGTGTATTTACCAAGACAAGGTAGTCCTACTTGAAGTTGGGATCTCCGCAATTCCTGATCAGACAATGTGCTGATCTGTTCCATCAGTTCTTCCAGAGCATTTCCAGTTCTCTCTAGCTGAAGCCAGAAGCAGTCAGGAGATTCAGCAAAAAGGAAATATGCTTCCTCTCGTTTGTGGATATCAAAGCCTTCCTTGGTATACCTCTCTTTTAATGCTAATTTTGCTTTGGTGGAAAACATGTCAAGCTCTTGGATCGTCACACACCAAGTGTCCTTTTCTTTCCTGGTAAATGTCATATGTAAAGGTCTCTCCAAAATGTTAGCTCTAAACTGTTCTACATCACTCTCTGTCCAAACATCTTTGGATCCTTCAAGTTTGCATCTGATTGCTTGCGCAGGAAAGGTAAGGAGATTGGGTCTAAGCTGTTTAATGGCTGACACAGGAAGGGTATCTGTGTTTCCATAATCAACAAAGTGGACTTCCACTTTAGAGTCAGAAACTACTTTAGTGACACAAGCTCTGTACCACTGAAAATCTTCACTGTATTTGGCACAGCATAATGAATCAACAAAACATACCTCCATAGTGTCTGTACTAGGGCCTAGTTGATCATAAATTTCTCCAATTTTGTTTTCAATATGGGTCAGATCTGATGATGTTTTGGACAACTGAACATAAAAATCCCCAGACTCTGTTACGTGACTGACATAAACTTCTTCAATTTGGCCCAATGAGAGATCCATTGGAAGGAAAGTCTCCATTTGCACACCTGTAACACTCACACCTTTAGTTTTCTGAAGATCTGCAGCACTGTTGCTTATGAACAAGTCTACAACAGATGTTCCACCACTTTGTAAAGATACCCTCCATTTCGGTCCATCTTGAGTTATGAACTTAGCTTCAAATGTCTTGTCAAGGGCTGCTGACATAAATATGTTTATTTCTTCAGCTGACCATTCATCTTTGGTAACATCAAGGGCACACAAAGTGGCTTGTTGAGGTAACTGCATGAATTCTTTCTCCACATCTTTTACATAAATGGGGTTCACAAATTCACTGTTTCCATAGTCAACAAATTCAACTTCTACCCCTTGCAGAGCCACTCCTTTTACCCGACTCCTGTACCAGCAATGATCCTGGCTGAATTTTGCACAGCAAGACATTCCTTCAGTTGGATTCTTTATCACATTTTGAGATGGATGCAAGAAAGAGTAGAACCCATTTATCTTTTCACTCAATGCTGTCAATTCATCCAGTCCAGTCGCAAACTGCACATAGAATTCATCCGGGCTCACTATGTGACTAATATACACATTTTGCTCCATCTCTTGAGTAATTTGAAGTTGAGGAAATTCTCTCAGCTCAAATACGTCATCTGAGCATTTTGGTACTTCATCTTTGCTGCCAGTTATTCCATTGTCATCATCTAAGCTAACCTTCCATTTTCCCCTTTCTGTTGCCAGAAATTTCACCTTGAGCTCCTTGTCTTCTACTCTCTCTTTGAAAGACTCTACTCTTGGAAGATCAAGACAGCAATGAATTGCTTGTATTGGAAGGCTGAAAAATCTGCTGCTCAGCTGTCGGATATCTGACAGAGGAATTACATCACTGTTACCATAATCAATGTACTGTATTTCAACTTTATACTCTGATGGTATGCTTTGAATTACACCTCTATACCAGCCACCATCTTCTGCAAACTGTGCACAAACAGGATGGCCCACAACAAGATCCCCAGGACTCAGATCATCAGCAAGGCCAGAGTACACTTCAGCAATCTCTGCCATCATCTGTTCAAGCTCAGGGTAGGTTTCTGACAACTGGATGAAGAAATCACTAGGGCTTTCAGTGTGAACAACGTAGGCATTCTTCACATCACCTGGATGAAGGGGCAGCTGTTCAAAGTTTCTTTTCTTCTTTTCCTTCTGGGTATCTTGTACTAGGTTGAAAAAAAAAAAAAGAGAAAATTGAATCTACAACTGTGTGCCACTCATCCTGTATTTAGAGCCCTTATCTTCTACCTTTAAACTCCCAAGAACTGATAATGGATTCTCCTCACTTATTACTATTAATGTCTTTTTTGATGGAAAAGAGATTTTTGTATCATATTTAATTAGGTTAGTCTTCCAGCGAGCTGTCTTTGCAATATAAGAACAGGCTCACACAAAGAGTTGCAACTTTATTAAGAGACATCTTTTGAGTTCTCAAACAGTTTGGCAGCCCTGAGCACTTTTGCAGAAATTGTTTTAGAGCAATCCTTAATGTTCTTCAATGATTATCTCCAAACTTTTTATGGATGTCTTATAGCAGCTGTCGTCAAGCAAACCCAAACAGTTTTACAGCAGTTATCTTCAAAAGTTCCAGGCTTCTTTTTGGAGCATTTTCTTCTAGCAGTCCTTAGAGGCACTGATGCAGTTGTCTGAAAGGGTTTGTCAGCAGTTCATTAACAGGGTACCATAGATTATCAGTTGTCTTCAAGTGTTGTTGAGCTGTTCTTTTTCATTTTGTAAGCTGTTTGTTTGCATGTGTTCCTGAGAAGTCTTGGGAGGGTTATTTTCATGCATTCTTCAGCATTTCATTCACAGCTGTCTTCAAGCATCCCTCAGCACATTCTGTTGTTTGCTTATGGCCAAATCTCAGAGATGTCTCAACTATAGGGTGTGGTATTCTCTCTAGGGTGGGAGGGGAGGTGGTTATCGAACATGGAAGCTCCTGAATGACCCCAGCACCCACCTTTCATATAGATGTAAGCGAAAAAGTGCTCAAGTCAAGATAAAACCATAGCAGACAAGGTTGTAGATAACTGTTTGGTAAAGAGAGAATCATTGTCGCTCTAACATGTTACTTGATAATCTCTGATGAGAATTTGAGGAGTAAGAATTCCCTCCAAACATGAGGAGGGTTGATGTTAGAGTCAAATGATTTCAGAAAGTCATCTCTGAGGTGTAAGGGCTTACGTGTATATTACAAAGCTAAGTTTATTATTATAAGAAATCAAAATTGATACCTGCTCCTGGGATCAAGTGGAGTACTTCTTCACTTAAACAACGAGCCTTTTTATCAAACACCTTCACTTGATATTGTCCACTATCATAGCCAAGAATCTTTATGATCAACTGCTCATCCGCAGTACTTAGTCTTTCAAATAGTGCAATGGCTTCCTCTGGCCACTCGTTCCTTTTCAGATCTAATGAACATTCAATAGCAACCTCAGGTGTCTTCATGAACATGGAGGAAATCTGCTTTACACTGGATGGCTTCAATGTCTCATCATTCCCATAGTCAACATAATGAACAGTGATGTCATTCACCGAGATCTTCTGCACTTTTGCTCTGTACCATAAATCTCCATAAAGTGCTACACATGGCTGTCCAACTAACGGTGAGACAAGACAGCCTTCTGTTTCAGCCAGTTGGAAGTGGTGATCATTCAGATCGGTCATCACTACAAGAAACAGGAATAAAATTCCATGACTTTTCTTTATCTTTTCCAAGACTTCTCTTATGTTTTCCATTGCCTTCAATCCAGACAATAGTTTCAAAATTATGTGAAAAGTAATGGTCATTAATGCAATATTTTTGTTTTGTTGTTGTCAGAAAAATAATTTTCAACCATTTCCCAAGACTTTCCATGATGCATAATCAAACTTCATGACTTTCCAAGCCTGGGAAATGATATTGTAAAATACAATGACTTTACAGGTTTTCCATGCCTCCTACAAAAACAAGATATTTGAATGAAAAATCAAGAATACCACAATTTTGAAAGCTAGTGAAGACAAACAGTGTCAAAAGTAACACTAGCTAATAATCATGCAGTTATAAAAATGTTAAACATTTGGTACTCTACAAATACATACTCCCATCAAGTTGATCTTTCATATTCTCCAGTTGACAGTAAAACTTTCCAGGGGACAAAAGATGGGAAATGGCAACATCATACATTTCACCACTATTTACTACAGGTTTGGTAAATTCTTCACTTCCTGTCATGCTTGGAGCTGCTGGAACAGATTTTGTGGCAGAATGGACAGCTAATCCTTCATTGACCAGTAGGCCACCTATGTTGATGTCAACTGACTGGTGACTTGTGTCAAACAATTCTATTTCCATGCCTTCTTGGTTTCCTGTATTGATTTAAATGAGAAATGTTGAAGCTATGGACTCCGAGGTAACCTGACTGGAATATATATTTAACAATTATTCGCCGAAGGTGAGGTGAATATCGTTGAATAATCCCCGAGACAAAGTCAAGGGGATTATTCGACAATATTCACCGAACCTGAGGTGAATAAATGTTTTAGTATAATTTCAGAGCTGAACATCAGAGAAATTTTAGTAACATTTATTGACATTTTAGTAACATTCATTAACATTTTATTTTAACATTTTATATAAACTGCGTGGAGCGGTTTATATAGCATCATATAAGGAACCGTTCGACCCATCAGATTGCTGGAAACTCTTTGCTCAGCTCTGAAATTATACTACAGTAATTCATGTTACAAAAGTTAAATAATACAAAGTGCTTTGGTATTGGAATAATCTGTTGATTGCATTGAAGTCTAGCCATGTTACCAAAAACTTGGCTGAAGAATCTACTTTGTTTTGACAGTTTATCTTTCTAACATACATACATGGGTTTGAGAGAAAAACTCCAGGTAATTCTGTTGGAAGCCTAAAAGTAGACTATCCTGCTATTAATAGTTAAAAAGGCTGGGCTTGACACTAACTTTTCAACTTACTAGCCAAGTGGCTAGTGACAACTTAGATGTTACAACAATTTCAGTTTGTTTACAAGCCAAAACTGAATTTCTACTAGTCTGTGGTCAGTTGGGTACCATTGGTGTCAAGCCATGAAGGGCCTCTATAAATGGCTCTGATATCTCTTAAAAGTGTACAGAGTTTTAAAGTTGGCTGAAGAATGAATCTTCTTTGTTTTGACAATATTTTTTTTTTTATACAGGTATGGTACTTGTTCTGTAGGTCTTACACTATAGATACGACTCTGAAACCTCTTTCAAAAGTTTCTAGAGTTTTAGAGTTTAATTAGAGCCCCAATACAAACTCCATGTTTAAAAGACCTCTAATCCTCTCTGAGGGCTTTGACTTTGCCTAAATTTATCAATGCTAAGTACAATGGCAATAACCATAACTGGCATTAAATTAACACCCAGACGGGATCAGAGATTCGAACCATAACACCTTTTGAAAATTTTGTATTTGGGTACCAGTAATGTTGTGTCAGTACATCAAAGGCTTTCTTTGCCAGTTGTCTAACCTTTTTTTATCACTTTTCCAACCAATTGCTTTTGCATTACAAGGCTACTAAACCTTTCAACAGAGGCATCTGACCACTCTGTACCACTGACAGGGGAGATGGACGATAGGCTACACTGGATCGCTTGAGCAGCAAGTTGTGATAGCTCTTCTTTTCCTGTCCTCACTTTACTCAAAGGAAGTGTAACAGTGTTGCCAAAGTCCACATAGAACACCTCCACAGACTGATCATCTGTAACCTTAGTGATTCTTCCTCTGTACCACAAGTCATCATCTTATACAAAATTTTACACAAAATTGCAAGTCAGTCCAGTTAATGATTCATTGACATTGAGAAAGATAATAAGACCATCTTCCATATGTGTAACCAAACAGCAACAAAAAATGCATGGTTTGAACTCTAAAATTTCAAATCTATTCCCATCTCTTGCATGAATCAAGTGCTATCCAACAAATGTGCATCAGAAAACCTCCATTGCAATATTTTCCTTGCTAACCACTGAGATCTGATTTTGTTTAATTGGAAAGCTGTCAAGCTCTCACCAGAGAACTATTTTCTATCAGACTGACTATTGCTCGACTATAGAATTGAAATTGAACAGTTTTAAGTGAGACTCCAAGACACATTTACAATCAAGTAAATATGCTAGAAATTTCAAGGTCCAGTTGCAAACATAAAGGTCCAAATGCCCCATTCAGACAATCAAAAGAAACAGTTTCATGTAAATATCCTTATAATAATAATAATAATAATAATAATAATAATAATAATAATGATAATACTACTACTAATAATAACTTTATTTGAGGAGGGTAACACGTGACAGTAATTCAACTGATGAACCTGTGACCCTCAAATAAATCAAATAAAGATTTTTTAAATAAAACTTAAAGTGCATCAAAATCCCCACTGGCAGGAGGCAGACCAGTAGGTTGTTTACAGAGCACAGCCGAGGAGTTGAACTTGGGACAACTGAGAACAATTCCAGCGAGTAAAGGGTGGAGGACTCGAACCCGGACCACCGGATTACAAATCCAGCACCCTAATCACTTGGCCACACCTTTTGATTCATTCCTTTTGTACCATACCATAATGGCAGAGGACTAACTGTACTATTTCCAAGAATTTCAAGGCCAAATTGTGGACATCAAGGTCTAAATACCTCATTCACACAATCAAATTATGTGGTAAGAAACAGTTTCATCTAAATATCCTTTTGATTCATTCCTTTTGTACCATACCATAATGGCAGAGGACTAACTGTACTATTTCCAAGAATTTCAAGGACAAATTGTGGACATCAAGGTCTAAATACCTCATTCACACAATCAAATTATGTGGTAAGAAACAGTTTCATCTAAATATCCTTTTGATTCATTCCTTTTGTACCATACTATGATGGCAGAGGACTGATTGTAGTATTTCCAAGAAGCACTAGTAATTTTACCAACAAATGACAAACCTGGAAAAAGTGCTGTACAGTTTAATCCAACTGTAGGGTTTTCTAAGTTTTGTTGTTGCTCACTATCTACTGAAGTTTCTTGGAGTTTATCCATCAGTTTTGACAGTATCTCTTTGCGATCTGCTGTTGCAATCTGGCAGTAGAACAGATGTGGATTGACACACTCTGTGGGGCACAGCTCTACAAATGAACCTACTTTGATCTCCATGAGAGGCACAGAGCCTTGAAAAATACAAACATAATGGTATTAAACCACTGACACAGAACAATAGTCTGGATGTTTTGCTACATACACCAAAATAACTTGCCATAATAAGCTACATTTCTGTTATAACTTAAAGGTTGTTAGCTCAAGAAAACTTGAAATTGCTGATACTGTTTATCAAGCATACTCGGTATTGTGACATCCTAAAAAGCCAACAGTTGAATAGCAAGATGACTAATGAGTTTTGTAGACTAATGTTGGATTCCATTTCCCAGGTTTGTCCACAGAAGTTAAGGACAACCCCGGTGGGCAACCTGGCATCCGATTGATCTGCCTCCCCTTAAATAACCTCCTGTTGTCATGATTACACAGGCGGCGGTAAGAAAAGAGGCCAACCTAAGCTTCTTTCTCCTTGATTTCTTCCATAAGTATTTTAAGCATCTTTGTTGCTGAATAGTCCATACAAAAAAATTACTTCCAAGTGAATTTTGAGATTTGTGAGAGTTACCTACTGTAGTTCTACTAGACTAACACAGTATTAACACAATACCTTTCTCAGCCTCCCCACGGGTTGATGCACCAAACAGTTTTGAACCATCTTCAGAGAACAACTCAACTTCATAGATACCAGGATCACGGCTGCCATGCACTTGAAGTTTAAATTCTTGCTCAATAACTAAGTCCTTGAAGTTTTCTGGCTCCTGATTTGCAGAATAACCTTTCAAACAGCAGCTAACCGCTTGGGCTGGTAATGATGCAAATTCTGTCTTCAGTGACTGGACACTGGTTAGAGGAATAGTTGCAGCATCACCATAGTCAATGTAAAAGACCTCTACACTGTTCCCTTGAGCTTTGGTGACTCGTGCACGGTACCAGCCACCATCTTCATAGCGAGCCACACAGAAAGAACCAACACTGATAGAAGTCAGGTTACCCTGGTTTGAACTGTAATGTTCTTCCAGTCTTATCATAAGTTCATCCAGGTTACTTGAGTTTTGAGAGAGTTGACAAAAGAACTTTTGTGCACTGTCCACAAATGGAATAAAAACATCAACTTCAACTCCCGGATTTAGCTGAATGTCACTGACTCTTGCAGATGGCTCAGAAGTTTCTATTTCACCAGACATTGGTGTTTTGGTAAAGAGGGAAGTTCCATCTTCAGACATCAATTCTACCTCATAAGTATTCTCTGATTTCACACTTGTCACCTGGGCTTTGAACTGCTGCTCATTAACAAGGTCTTTAAAGTTCTCAGGCCCTTGCTGGACAGAAAATCCTTTCAAACAACAACTTACAGCTTGGGCCGGTAGCAGTGAGAATTGTGGTTTCAGGGATCTTATGCCGCTATGTGGAATGGTTGCAGAATCACCATAATCAATGTAAAACACTTCTACACTGTTCACTTGAATCTGAGAAACTTGAGCACGGTACCAGCCACCATCCTCATAGCGTGCCACACAGAAAGCACCAACACCAATTGAATTAAAGTTCTCATGATCTAAACTGTAATGTTCTTCCAACTTGTTCATGAGGTCTGATAAATCACTTTCATTTTGAGAAAGTTGACAATAGAACTCCTGGGCACTAACCACAAATGGGATGAAAACATCTACTTTGTCACCATGTTTCAGCTTGAGGTTTGGCACACTCAAGGTTAGTGAGGCTGATGATTGTGGTTCTTTAGAAAGCAGTTGGCCTAGTGGTGCTGAGCCATCTAATGGCACAAGAATGACTTCATAAACACTGTTGCCCTTTGCACTTATAACCTGTGCTTTAAACTCTTGTTCACCAACCAGCTCCTTGAAATTTTCTGGCTCTTGATTGGCTGAGGAACCTTTCAAACAGCATGGTATGGCTTGTGCTGGTAGAGTGGAAAATTCAGGCTTGATTGTTCGAATATTGTCAAGCAAGATAGTTGCACTATCTCCATAATCTATGAAGTTGACAGTGACATCCTTTCCTTGAATTTTCTCCACTTTTGCCCTGTACCAGCCATCATACCAAGCCACATAAAGAGAGCCGACATTTAGGGAAGATATGTTCTCCACACTGGAGCTGTAGCATTCTTCTAATTTGGTCATAAGGTCATCTAGTTCTGTCGAGTGTGCTGTACTATGGCAAAAAAACTTCTGAGTGCTTTCAGCATAAGGGATCACTACATGAACAGTATTTCCTGGTTTCCAGTGCATCTGGGAAATGCTAGAAGATGGAGATGTTGGACTTGAGTTGACATAAATGCTGCTGACAGACTGATTGGTGTCCTTTGATATGAGATCAACCTCTGCAACTCCACTCCTGACATTCACAATTCGAGCAGTAAATTCTTTCTCTGATACAAGTTCCAAAAATATTTTATCAGAAGACTCCCTGAAAGTCCCAGATAGCGAGCATTCAATTGCTTGAGCAGCAAGGTGATAAAACTTTGAGTTCAACAATTTGAGTCGTGATGATGACAGAGTTTCAGAGTTTCCATAGTCAATGTAAAGGACTGAAACATTGCTTCCGTTAACATCAAGGACTTTAGCACGGTACCAACCATCATCTAAAGTAAACTTAGCAGCACAAAACTCTCCAACTGATGGTTTCAACATGTTCTCCTGTTGGGCACCCAGACTTTCATAATGTTCAAACATGTCATTCATCAATACATCTAATGGCTCAGATGATTTCAATAACTGACAAAAGAATTTTGATGAGCTTGATACTGAAGAGACAAACACACGTTCTGAAGTACCTGGTTGAACCTGCAGAGCAGCAATGTGAGCTTCTTCACGGTTTGAGCTCGGAGTCATGATGGTCTGAAGATCATTACCAACGTCTAGGTTCTTCCCTTCTGTGGTATCAAGGAGGACTACCAGAAATACACCATTCATTTCATCATACTTGTCAGCCATCATAACAAGTTCTTTATCCAAAGTTAGCTCCTCAAATCTGCTCATGACATCATCAGATAGCAAGTCTTGATGAGAGGGACTGATTTTAGCCAGTGCACATTTTACAGCTTGTGTTGGAAGTTTCAAGAACTCGGTCTGCAGCTTCTTCACACGGCTAAGTGGTAGTTTTTCAAAGTTACCATAATCAACAAAATGGACTTCAACTCGGCCTCCTTTCATAATGCCAGTGATTTTACCACGGTACCACTTGTTATCCTCAGAGAATTGGGCACAACAAAGCATATCTGCATGAACACCATGAAAAAAAAAAAAGTTGAGAAAACAACACTTCTTTACCCTTAGCTTTACACATCTCAGTGACAAGCAATTCTTCCTTTTATCTTCCACGATAATTTCCTACAAAACTAGTTAGAGCATATTTTGTTGGGTGACTTAAAACTAAACCACATTAATAAAAATGATTGGTTGAGAAAGAAGCTCCACTTTTCTGTACTGGTCACATAGCAAAGTACTGTAATTTTTGTCTGTTTACCCACATGGCTGATTACCCGCACCAGCCAATTATTGCATGCGGCGAAAAAAAAGTCAACAGATTACGTGCACTGGTGGATAACACACACCTTAAACATGAAGGCACGCTATATAAGTCTTCCCTGGGAAGACCTAGGCTCATTTGTCACTAACCGTTGAGGTGTGCGGGTCAAATTTAAATGCTGGTAGATGAACAAAAGGAGCTAATGAGATATCTATTGTTTACTTCCACCAGCATGGTGGCATGAGGTAACGTCCAAACCACCTACTTCGATCTCAAATTTACCGCCACAAATAAAAACAGTTTCCATTGGAGAAAGGAAATACAAATCTCAAAAATTCTTATACTGTGATGAAGACATAAAACAATTTTGAGGAATGCGCCCTCTGTTCACTGCTTTGGAGTAGCTGTAGCTCAAGCTTACTTGACTCTGAGAGTTCTACATCACACGACGGTTGATTGACAAATGGTCCAATGGGACCTAAGGCTCCTTTTATAGCGCTCCTTCGTGTTTAAAAGCAAAGAAAATTTGTACAAAAAGGCTCTAGAATTCACAACATTTCATACTTAACATAATGTGAATTCATGGCCACATCAGGGTTTGTACACTTTTGACCTGTAAAAATTCCATGACTTTCCAGGACTTTTTCCATGATCTTTTGAAAGATTCCATGACCTGTTTGCAAACATTCTCATAAGACGTGCTGCTGTTTATTTCTAATCAAATTAAATCTGGTTTTTGGCCTCATTAGTTGACTTTTCAACTTTGGGTCTTATTGCCTTTCACTCATAGAGAGCATATGGATTTTCCATGACTTTCCATGACCCACACCTAAATTTCATGACTTTCCAGGCCTGGAAAATGAAATTTGAAATTCCATCACTTTCCAGGTTTTCCATGACCTGTATGAACCCTGCACATTTTGTGTGAGCAATCATTCAGCACAATGTTGATTTGTTGATTTTTCAAAAAAATTGATATCTTTGGTTCTACTGGATCTAACAAGTCCCTTAATATGGGAAAATTCTCCCCAGCTCAAGCTAACATTAACTGGAAATTTGTTACTGGTGCGCCAGTTATCCTTGGATTATTTTTGTCACCATCAAGGTTTTGTTTACACGCATGCCAATAAAAATGTGTTTGTCGCTCAACTAATTGTGTGTGAAATAAACTCAAGTCGGCATCATGTTTTCGTGCCGCTTTGTGGCACTCTTCATACAATAAAAGTCATCTGAGAGGTGGAAACGCAGCTAGGTGAGAATGTTTTACAATTCAACTGCCAGTAGATTTCAAAACTGTCACATAACCCACACCTCCCTATTACCCGCAGTGGAGCATGTTTGAGTCAAAGTCAACAAATTACCAGCGGGTTAACGGCCAGAAATTACAGTAAACCAAAAACAAAGCAATCTCCTATTACTTTTGACACTCAGTTAAAAACTTATTAAATAGAAATCAGTGTTATAACACCCTTTTGCTGACCTAGCCCTAAAAACCCACAACATTGTAATTTTCTTACATGTTATTACAAATTTCGACAATTTTTGAGTGAACATGCATATTGGAGTTAAAATTATATCAGGTCAAGACAAATTCAAACTAGTTTGACTTCTCTTTTTGTTTAACGATTACAAAAATATAGCTGGAGCAAAGAGAAATCCAAATCAAACTTGCTTGAGACCATTTTGACCAGAATTTTGTTCCAACCACTAAGACAAGTCTAAAATTTAGTTGATCTTACCACAAACAGGCTTAGAGATGGCAATCCTTTGTCCTTCAGAACCATAAACTTCAGAGATTTCTCTCATTAATGACTCAAGCTCTGTCGCAGATTTCTGTAGCTGACACCAAAAGTTGCATGGATGTTCAATGTAACTGACAATCACATCTTCAAATTGGCCAACTTTCAGATCTGGAGCAGGAATTGTTTGTGATTTGAGATTGTTCCAATTTTCAGAAGTAGGTAATGCTCCATCTGCAAACTCTGCATTTCCACTAAGGACCAGCTGATCACTAATATTCTGATTTTCTCTTCTGTTTTTTACAAGAAGTTCAACTCGACAGATGCCTTTACTGTCCTGAGTTATAGTTGTAAGCATGCCCTCTTTCTCCAAAGCTAAATCAATTAATTTTTGAGAGTCCTGATGTCTCCACTTCAGCTCTCCAGAAACAAATTTGGGCATGATTCGGTTCAGGGAGCATTCAATACCTTGTTGTGGCAGGTCAGAGAACTTGGGAATTAGTTTCTTTATCTTGTTGATTGGTAGTGTTTCAGAGTTTCCATAGTCAACATACTGAACAGTGACACCCTTTGGTTGAGTTCCCAATACCAAACCACGATACCAACAACCATCTTCTGAAAACTGGGCACAGCATGGATCGCCAGGAGAGGGAGATGACAGAAGTTCTTCATTTGCACCAAGTTTTGCATAGTGACGATTTACCTCCTGCATCAAACTCTCTAGTTTCGGTCCATTTTTAAACAGCTGACAGTAAAATTTCGAAGGATTGATAATGTTGGTGACCAAAGCTTTCTCCTCCACCCCGACTGGAACATTTTCTTGAGCAAAAACAGGTGGAGACATTTTTTTCACAGTTGTCTGAGATGCAGTTGCTGCTGACGTGGTTGCACAAGGTAAGTCTGCTGACTTAATCCCAAAGTTAGCAGCAATGAGAATTTGGTTCAGTTCCATATCACTATCTGAGGTTGTGTCTATAAGTTTCACTCTATGTTTTCCACTGTTCTCTACACTGGTTACAAGTCCCACCACATGTTTAAATTTAATCAACTTCTCAAACAACACTTTGGCTTCATCAGCCCAAAGCCCATCCTTGCTGGCAGGTTCAACCCCAGCTATGGCAAAGTTCAGGGCTTGACAAGGAATCTTTAGAAAATCATCCTTCAAATCTCTGACATCTGACAACTCCGTCTGCTGCGTATTGCCATAATCCACAAACCTAACTTCAATCTGTCCAGTAGCAATCGAACTGACATTGGTGATTATTCCTCTATACCATGTATCATCTTCATAGAACTTTGCACAGCAGGGATATCCCACAGTGCATGACTGTAAAGGTAAAGTTGCTGGATCCTGATAAGTGTAGACCTCGGCAAGATCATCCATTAATTTCTCCAGTAGGTCTGTGTTACCCAAGAGCTGGCACCAGAAATGTGATGGATCTTCCACCCAAGTCACACTGAGATCATTGTATGAATCAGGGGGGAGACTGATTGAGTTGTATTTCACTTCCCTCCTCAGGTTTGGTTGTTGAGGTAATTTGCTATCTCCATTGGTCAAGGGAACGGCAGCAGCAGTACTTAAACCACCACTTTGCATCTCGTCGAAGACGGATTTAGTACCTCTCTCATCGAAGAAAAGTTGTGTAACTAAGATATTCTGTTTCTTCAGCTGAACGGCCTTACAATAAAGCTCTTGCTCCAAGATAGTCTTGTTCAGCCAGGTCACCGTTTCGTCAAAACTTTCTCTGCGAAGATCAACTCCTTCAAGCTCACATTCGAAACACTGGGGCGGCAAGTCACAAAACTTCTCTTCTGCGATTCTTATGCAACTTAAGGGCGCGAAATCTGTATTTCCATAATCCAAAAAGAAAACTTCACACTGTTGATCAGCGGGATTCACCCGTAAGATGCGAGCCCGGTACCATCGATTATCTTCTTTATATTGCGCCAAATAAATGCAGCCGACCATAATATCTGAAACTTTGGGTGGTCTAGCTTTCCCTGAGAGCACATTTTCTTCTATTTCTACCATGAGTGCATCCAATTTTCCCGCCTCGGCGTTGATTTGAACGAAAAAATTCCCCGAAGCCTCTTCCACGTGAGTTACTAAAATGCTCACTGTCCTCCCAAACGGGAATTTCACTTGCATCGCCATCGCCGAATAAAGAACTTCGTTGTCTTCCTACAGGTCTTACTCAATCATCCTAAAGTTACTAAGGTCACAAAGCAATTTCTATAAGATCAACCATGCATCCTAACTTCAGACTGCAATGCACATGGCGCCAGCGATCAAATCGCGGTAAGGCAGCCCATAATCTTAGAATCGTAAAATAATCGGCAAAACTCGGTCATGGTCGGATTAGTATGACCTTCATTGACCCTTATCGACTAACTCTCGTAAACAATCAAGTTGGAGGCGTGGTTACCTCAACTAACCTCCACAACCAATATGGCGGCCAGCGTGTACTGTAGTGGAAAACTTTTACGAACCTTTGCCAGAAACTCTCAGAGTAGAACCGTGAACACTCGTAAGTTTCGATGATTGAGCAGACTTTCCTTTCCTTTTTTCTTTATTCATTTATTTCACTGCCTAGGAAGAAGAAGCTGTTTCAGAGTGATACGTACATTTCATTTGGATTTTTCCGTGACTACGATCAAAGTCCAACTCACGCGATGGAGACCTTAAAGCGCATATATTTCCCAATTTCCTCTGTTTATCTTTGATTTTTAGTAGGCAATGTTCGTATAGTTTTTTTTTCTAACATTGATGTTCGGAGACGATCTAATATCTTACGTCGGGCAGATTTTCTTTAAGTGTTCTCCAGTTCACAAAGTCCAAAATCAGACAATTGCTCGGCAAAGTTTTCTTTGATTTTTTATCGATCTCTGATTTTTTTTTAAATAATGGATAAATGTTATTGTTTAAGAATCTTGAACCAGCTGAAGCATTTGACAACGTGTTATTAGAGCTTAAGCGAATTTAACTTTGTCGTATCAAAATGTCATTAAATCTTATATATTACTATCTTTTTTTGTAGTGTTCCTAAGATGTGCCAGTTCATCTCAAAAGCAAAAATCCACATCGAAAGGTAATTTTTCCCTTTTTTTCCTCAAATCCCTTCACCGTACACATTTTTTCATATCAAGGCTTGTCTTGGAACCTTGAAGAAATGACAGCTAAAAAGACAACAAGGCAATCAGAGTATTTCCACAAAACTTTGCAAGAGGTTATCTTGAAATGATCTATCGTTATTTTAAGCACCGAATATATAATAAATTGCAATCCTGTAAGACCCTGTTTATATTTCTAGATCACTGTTCTATTCTTTTCATATCCATTCGTATACAGGTGCAACTTCAAAAGCAGCTGGGAGAAACATTGTTTTGGTGGAGGGAGTGCGAACTCCATTTCTCATGGCTGGCACCAAGTAAGTCTTTAATCCTTCACTCCCTAACATCAGTATCGGTATTCTCCATACCCTTCTATATATATATATTCCCTTTGATACTTACGTGGAGAATTTGTTAAGTGATCAAAGCTTCTTAGGTTGACTAACATTTCCTTTATTCTCCTCAGTGATCTTAATGAATTACTCAGCATTTTTATTATGCTTTGGAGAAATGAAATGTTGGTCTCTCATAGGGTTTAAAGGGTTAATGGTTATAAAAGTGTAAAACAATCAGAGAATCCTAAGCCATCAATGATACACATTATTACATTGCTCGCAGAACCCATGGGTAAGATGAAGTGAATCCTGTGTTCTGATTTGCTACCCAAGCAGGCAAGATGGGTCCATCTTGCCTGGTTGGGATTACCTGCATTGATCCCTCGCATGAAAAAATTGATTTAGAACTAAGTCTGTAATTCTTGGACAATTTCAGTGATGGAAACACAAAGGAAACAGAAATGACTCTCGTGAGTTTGTTAATGTGCCACAAACACAGTTGGCTTTCTTTCCCAGCTCTCAAAGTAAACAAGTCACTCTTAATTCTAAATAAAGCAAAATCTTTTTGCAATATGTTAAATCCTTTATTAACCAATCTTGTTCGGTCAAGATGGCTGGATATTAGCCGAGTTCTTTTTTTTGCATTTTTGTAGACCTCAACTTCATCTCAGTCCATAAAAATGTGAAAAAAGAACTCAGCCAATATCCAGCCATCTTGACCTCATGTCTGGTTAATAATGCATGTCTTCACAAGGATTGTGAGTGACTTTGATTTTAAGAAACATGGAATCATTGTTGTGACGTTAGCTTTGTGGTTAATTTTAGTTATGCTGATCTTCTGTCACATGATATTCAAAGAGGAGCATTAGAGTGAGTATGTTTTGCATTTAGATCCTGAATATTTATTGATTGCAAGTGAAATATTGTTTTATTATCTTAGTGGAAGTTGTAACATTTTGAGTTTATTGGGAGAGAGTCAGCTCGCCATCCAAAAGTGTGAAATATGTTTTGGAGATAATTTTCAGCAACTAATAGCACTATTTTGGAACTGCCTTAAACCAAACTCTACAGGTGGTAAAGAGTTGGTATTTCCTCCAAAGTCTTTTACATTAGGACACATAAAAACTTGACTTGAACCAGTAAACTTGAGAGGGTTAAATTGATTCCTAAATCCTTTTTTCAGGGGTCTTGTGACAAGGACTGGTATAAGTAAAGGTTAGTGAAAGAAGATTTTTCTGCTTAAATTGTGGGACTCAGGTCATTGAAAATTGCAATTGGAGATTGTAGAGTATTACTTGTTCACTCTAGTGGGATGGTAGGCCTTAACCCATAAACTCGCAAGATCTGATTGTTAATTCTCCCCTCTGGCTCTTACACATTTCCTTGTAAATTGGTCAGAAGAATTTGTTGTTCAATCAAGGTAAAAACTTTAGCCTGATAAGCTTGAGTATTCTCACTACCTGTTTTCTCGACAATATGTGGATATGATAGGGAGAAGTTACATGTTAATCAGTTCTGGGAGTTAAAGGGTTAAAGTGATGATGCCAGCCTTTTTGTCTGTTTCACCAGATTGCACTGTCACTCAATTAGTCAACTTGTTATTATGGTTTCTGAAAAAAGGTGAACTGTGAATTTCAAAGCTAAACTTGTGATTTCAGTACTATTAGTCATAGCCATTGAAAAAATGTTGAAGTAGAAACAAACAAAATGTAAATAACTTTAAAATAACTTTTACAGATGCTGTTGATCACATTGTCATTGGCACAGTCATTCAAGAAGTTAAAACCAGCAATATTGCACGAGAGGTATGGTATTGATAAGTTATCATTGAAAGTCCCTGTAAAGGTTGTCTTTCAATTCCCAGGCCATCAAGACCCTCTCACTACTTATCTTAGAAGTTGAAAAAGGATATTTCCATATGATCAGTTGAAAATGGTTGAAAATAATTAAAGTAACTAATTTAAAGGTTCTAAGCAGTGTGCAGATTGCTTTTCACTTCTGGAACTACAGCTGTAGCATGGTTTAGCTCACAGAATAGTTCTCTCTATATGAGTAGAGTAGAGAAGAGTAGAGTAGACATCTATATTTATACAGGATAGCCCCTTCGGTGTAGTAAACACTGGTATCAACAGGGGTCCTGTTACTCACCCATCCCATACCCACCCAGTAGTAAATCACTGGAGAGCAAAAAAATCCAAAGATCCAAGGTTTGAACCCTTGTAGGACTGACTCATATTCTATCTCTATGCCATACTTATGTCAAACAATTTTTAACAGAACTCTTTAAATAATCACCCAGTTTGAAAATAGCTATCTTTCTCAATCAAGTCTAATTCTTAAGTTTTTCTTTTTTTTTTGCGTAAGGCTGCCCTGGGTGCTGGTTTTTCAGACAAGACTCCATGTCACACTGTGACTATGGCTTGTATCTCATCAAATCAGGCAATTACTTCAGGTACAGTATAATGAAAAGCTAGAAATAAATGCCAGTTCTAAAGCTGACAAACTTTTAAGTCCAAAATTGGTTCTAAGTTGTAATCATCATTGTCCTTCCAAAGAAACCTATGATATTATAATTATTATGTAGTGTTCACAGATAAACTTTTTTCATATCTTATTGCGCAGTTTATCAAATAAGGGAAAAAATACTGACAATTTTTAAGTACATGCTCATATAGATCATTACAATTTCTTTAAACTGTTTGGTGTTAAATAAGTCTTGCAAGTATTTGCAGGTTGCATAATTACTTTGACGTTAGAATTTATTTCACTCTGTTTGTAATTCACTTCAGCACCAGACATAATGGGTTTGTGTTTTTTTTACTCTTCACGAAAAAACAGTGATTTCTATCTTTAGTTGCCAGTGAAGTAGTCAATGGTTGCAATTGATCATCACAACTTCTTTAAGGGCTGTGTTTCTCCTAAAGCAATTTCCTTTTTTCCTTTTCTCCTTTTTTTGCTTGAAGCTGTTGGGCTAATTGCCAGTGGTCAGTGTGACACTGTGATTGCTGGAGGAGTAGAATTCATGTCAGATGTTCCCATAAGGCTCAGCAGACCACTCAGAAAAACACTGCTGTCTTTAAACAAGGTCAGATGATTTTCAAACAGTCTGAATTTGTTTACAACTCAGTTTTTTTTGGTCATAACAACTTTTTAGTGGAAGCATGCACTAATCTGTTCTGCTGACAAACACTGGAACAGGCTATATGATCAGTAGTAGTTTACAGAACCTTCAGAGCTCGTACAGGTGATGTGTCATCTTTGTTGGTCATGTTGCATGTAGATTAAACCACTAAATTTGCTTGTCAAAGTTCCTGTGAATTATTATGACACAACTGTGTTGAGGTGATCTTCCCTGAAATGCTTTGCTTTTGTTTTTCAGGCCAAATCTCTTGGTGCAAGACTAGGGCTTCTTTCAAAAATCAGACCGAAATTTCTCTCTCCTGAGGTGATTCAATGAGTTAAATAATTACATGATATCTCTGGTACAGATCTAAGCAGATGTCAAGGAAGCTTGTTAAAAACATTCAGCTGAGCTAATATTTCCTTTTTATCATTCCCATTAGCTGCCAGCTGTGGCTGAATTTTCTACTGGTGAAACCATGGGACATAGCGGTGACAGGTATAACCTTTAGAAACTACAGATAATTTATTATTTTGATTAACCAGGGTCTGGGTTGTGATTCTCCTTTCTGTTTGCCAGACAGTTCTTTGAAAATAAGTTGGTGCTCTATGAAGTGCACATCATCTGAAGGCCAAAAAATCTATACATTTTCATCGTCCATTTGTTGAGTAATGTATTAATGTTCCTTACACAGTCATCACTTTGAGAAGCAAAATGGTGGC